TGGAGTTACATTGCTAGGGTTCAAATCCCTCTTCTACCACCTAGAAGCTGTGACACCTTCAGGTAAGTTCACCCATTTCTTTGAGCCTGTTTCCTTACCTGTAAATGGGGACAATAGAGCTGTCATGCTACAAACTCACCAAATAGTAGCCGCTGCCCCACGACCACCATCACCTCCATTATCACCGCCATCATCCTCAAGCCAGTGTGACGAAAGGCTTGGGAATGCCCCTTCCATGGACTTGTGAGGCACATGGGAAAGCCGCTAGGTTGCTCAGAGTCCTATCTTGTCCATGGGTAAAATGGATTCATCAGACCTTCCCTTGGTTCACAGAGGAGTTGCAAGGATCAAGGGTAAAAATCCATGCTAAGGGCTTCCAAAGTTAGAGGAGCTTCATCATTTTGCTGTGCTGTTCAAGATTCTGAAGTGACTACCCACTTGGTTCAGGTGCCCTTTACCCAGGCTCTTCATGACCTTCACCCTGACCTTGGGAGCCATCTCTTCCACTCTGCCAGGGCAACCACAGCCATCAGGACAAGCTCATCTAGTGACACAGGAGCTTCCCAAAATATCTTTACAGACCACCACCAGGTGGCACTCCACCATCCACCTGCTGCCCATGAACACCAAGATGGGAGTGTGTGTTGGGGGAGGGCAAGGAAGGGGGTCAGGCAGTGAAATCCTGAGTGACTGGGCCTTGGTGCAGGTATGTATGTGTCATTTAGGGGTGACAAGGCATTGGAGGCCACGTGGCTCCTCTGTCAGTCATACCTAAGTGTGAAACCCACTCCCACCACTTGCCCACGGGTGAGACCTTGAGCCTCCCTTAACCTCAGGATCCTCATCTGCAAAATGGTGTTAACTCTAGCTCCTGGTGGCGTTGTGAGGGCAACCTAAGAGTAGGGGGAATAAGAGAGCATGAGGGAAGTGTCACGTGGAGGGCCTGGAACATAGTAAGTGCTCAGCAAACAGCTGTGAAGGGCCCTTCCTGGTTGGTTCTATGGCAGGATAGGCACACACAGGGCCAGAGCTGTCCAAGCCTAGCTGTGCACGTGCCTCCTGGGGGTCCCGTTAAAGGTTAGCCCGTGCCCTGCCCCAGGCTTGCTGAACTGAGCTTGTTAGGCACATAGACCAGGGAGCTCTCATTGTGAAGTGCTCCCCAGAGAGGCGTGACCTTAGAGACTGTTCTAGTCCCAGTCCTTCCATCTTGCAGATGGAAAAGCTGAGACCTAGAAAAGGGAAATGACTTGCCCAAGTCCACACAGCTATGGAGTAGCAGAAGGCCTGACTCCATGTATATCCTGCCTGTTGTGTCTCTGGCTAAGGCAAGGGCCTGAAGTACGGGTCAGAGCTGGCCCAGCAGCAGCCTGACTACTTGAGTTCTTCTTCCTATAGAGCTGGAGCTGAGCTGGAAGGAGGGTAAGCTCAGAGGCTTCCCCGAGCCAAAGGGAGGAGCCCATTTACTCATAATGTTCCTCATACAACTCACTGTTGAATAATACCATATACTCCATGCTTTCTGACCATAAACCTGAAGTGAAGGCTGCTAACCTTCCTGACTGACAAAGGAGACAGAATGGAGAGGTGGTATTTCTCAAGGTCATCTACCTTAAGAGCAGACAAACTCAGAACTTCCTATTCTAGGCCCAATGTTCTTGTCTATGTAGTACTAGATGTTGCCAGTTTGCAGCCCAAGAACCTCTCTAACCTACAAAGTATTATACTGGTCTTCTACTGTGTTAAAAAAATTTTTTTAAGTTTAATTTTTAAATTAAATGAAAAATTTAGTAGATTTCCTAGAAAGTGTATACACAGTCTCCACCAGTCCCCACCACCAGCTAGACTATGTTACCTGCCTGGTCCTGGTGGGCATGTGGACATAAGACTCCTGTCAAATGCTATGGCCTTTTTGCTGAAAGTCAAGTCACAAGGTCTTCCTTGCAGAACAGAGAGTGACATGATGAGGGCTGGTAAGATTCTTTTCCAGGTACTTTCTGCCAGGGGTTCCCAGAGCCATCGTAGAGGCGGGGTCCCCAGGGTAGCCCCAAGCCGATCAGATCTCCACCTTCACAGACAGGGCTCAGGAAACCCTTCCCAGATCAGAGTCTGTTGGGGGCAGACAGATGGAGCCGTAGATCACGTCAGTCTCTACAAGAAGCTTTTTCTGTATTTCTGTCTGCTGGTGAGCACGCTCTGAGCGCGTCTGCCTCTCAGCACCCAGGGGCATGAACTCCAGGCAACTGTTTTCTTTTATGAACCCATATCCATTATGCTGTCCTGTCTTCCCACCAGGTGAGCGGGACAGCTACGAAACTTTCCCTCATTCAAATCCCTTGAGGCACCACCAGGCGGCTGGGCAGATCCAGGCTGCCTGGGTGTGTTTGAATTATGGCTCCTTTCTTCACTACTGCTGTCCTTAGGCAAATAACCTCTCCTGGCCCCACTTTCTGATCTGTAAAATACAGCTAATAAAGTTCCAACCTTGTAGGGTTACTAGCAAAGTGCTTAGTATGGTGCTTTACACACAGTAAATGCTCAATAATGCCTGCTGCTATGATTAGTGCCACCATCACCAGGCAATGGTGTTCTCTGTATCCTCTTGGGGGTAGACAGCTTAGAACACGACCATCAAATCAAGGGAACAAATTCACAAGATCATTTCAGAAGCTTTTAACAGCTGTAAAGAAAATAAAAGGGGTAATGATAGGGGGTTTTACAAGAGACCCTCTTTGGGAAGTGACATACGATTTGGGGTTTCTCAACCCTGGCACTAGTGCAATTTTGGGCCAGATGCTTCTTTATCGTGGGGGTGGTCCTGTGCATTGTCAGATGTTGAGCAGCATCCCTGGCCTCTACTTGCTAAATGCCAGCCACGCCCCTCCTCCAGTTGTGACAACCAAAAATCTCTCCAGACACTGCCACATGTGCCCTGGGGAGCAAAAACGAGCTCTGCTGAGAGTCACTGAAACAAAGAAGAGAATTTAGATGTGAAAACAGATGGCTTTGGAGAGATGGACTTAGAAACGGGAGGACATGAGGAAGTACAACCTTGACACGGACCCTAACTAACTCAGGCATTTTCAAAACTGAGTCAATTCCTTAAAATAAATCTCTCTCGATATATATATATTGATATAAACACGTATTATGTGGATATATGATTCTGTTTCTCTGGAGAACCCTCACTGCTTCGGTGGCAGAGCTGGGTTGTCAAGCCTTACTCATTTTGGCTGTGTCCCAAGGGAGGCCCAGCTCCAACCCAGAGGGCCAGACCCAGCTCCCCAGGAGCCAGTGCTGCCTTTGCCCATCCCCCATGAGCTCTCAGCATGAGCAAGACACCCTTGGGGGTTGATGTGGAAGGCAGTGGGGTGCAGCTGGCTGAGAAGACGACTAGGAAGAGAACTCGGAGCCCTAGAACAGGTGACGTGTTTATTGTGGGACACCTTTTTCTGGGGGCCCCTTACAAGCCCCCAGCCGCAGAATAAAGACACAATAACATGGAATCCAAACCAGTCGCACATAAATAGGAGGTTGGCGAAGGAAAAAGAGAAAAAAACAAACAAACGTGCAGTTTCCTATGTGAGTGTGACAAAGTGGCAGCCCCATACCCATGTCCAGTCCCTTCTTCTTCCGCTTCCACACAGAGGCGCTGTCCCGCTCGGAGCGCCACCTTGGGGCGACTCAGCAGGGTGCCGCGTCTCGGGCGGGCAGGTGAGTCAACAAAACCAACATGGGTTCTTCTTAAAAAACAAACAAATGCTTTTGTGGCTCTTTGCCCCTCCCAGTTCTGTTGGGTGAACGACATGTCCCCCGACCCCGATCCAACAACAACAAAAAAAGGAGGCTGAGCATAAGCCACGAGTTGGAATAAAAACATATTGCACATGGCCACCAGAGTGGTCCTGAGAGCCCCCCGCTGCGGATACCCGAACACTGGCTTCTGAGACAACTGACTGCTTGCCTGTTACTCATGGTGTCATGCACCGTCCCCCATCCAGATGGCATTCAACACACATTCCACATTACTACCCTCTGCTATTCGTCAAACTCAAAGCCGAGGCTGATTTAAGCTCGTACTAGAAGCAGGCAGAGGGAGGCGGGGATGTTGGCTTTAAATCGTCGTCTACCTTTCAACCTTTTACCTCTGGGTGGCTACTGAAGTTCTACAGGTGAACACAGCATCCAAGGTGTGGAACCTTCTGGAACCGAGAGGAAGGAAAGTGGCTTTCCCTCACCATATACTCTTGCAAAGGGAGCTCTGCTGTTACCCACAGGTCAGTCACAAGCCTGGGTAAGAGCAACAGCCCGCGTGTGGGACAGGCAGTGTGGCAATCAACATCGTTTTTCTCCTAAGGAATTTTCAAGTATCACGAAATCCCTGATACGGCATGTAAACAAGACTCCTTACTGAACAGAAAGCTAGGTCACTTCGGGAAGCAGCAGCATGTGAACTGTCTCAAAGGGCGAAGGTTTTAGATGCAACGTTCAAGGCAAGACAGCCGCCCACCGGGCCTCGGAAGGCAGGCATCACACACACGGGCCCCTGCATGGAGCCTGGGAGAGAAAAGCACCCGATCTGGGATTTACCGGGGCCCCCTCTTCAGTGGTGTAGCTGCCATCGCAGAGAATAACGGAGTCTTGGATGCTGAACACCGGACGAGCTCCCAGACTGGCGTTTACAACCAGCTCCCGGACTCCTGGCCTCTTCCCAGGTGTTTCTTGATTCTCTGGGCCCCTGCTCCAGGGGACAGCCACAAGGCCATCCCCCTGCACCCCAGGCACACATGGAAGACGTTTCCCAGAGGACTGCTCTTGAGTGAGGTATCTCATCGACTGTTCGGCTCTGGGTCCGTTTTATTTAAAAAGAGCACAGACCCTCTCCAGACAAGGGCAATGAGGCTCGGCGGGGATGGTCTCCCAGTCACCTCACTCTGCTGAGCTTCCCTCGCCAGTGTCTTCTTCCTCTGCCTCCAAGGCCTCCCCGGGGGCCCAACAGGGCCCTATCTGTCGAAACATCCTCTGGGGAATGCGTGGCTCCCGCTGAAGTAGCTGCTTCTGTAGGTGGTGGCGAGGCAGTGCCTGGGCTCAGCTGAGATGGCCATCTGCATGCTGAGGGACGCGGGGAGGGGCACAGGACACACATCCAGAGGCTGGAGGGAGGAGTACGGGGAGTGGAGAGATGAGCCGGTGCCTCCCGAGAGCAGGCTCCCCGAACAGTGGGCCTGCAGCGAGTCCCGATAGGCTAAACACAGGTCCTGCACCGGGGCCTGGAACTGCGCCAGGGCCACAGGCGTCGGCTGGCCAAGGGTGGGGTACGCCGGGGGCTGAAACAGCATTTGGGTGGGGGCTGGGGATGTGCCGGGTACCATCGCCAAGGCCTGGCTCTTGACTGCGACGGCATCCTTGAGGACATTGTCATACGCTCTGAAAGGGAAGGACCTGGTGAGACTCAGAAGTTAAAGGCAGACACCTGAGAGCACCTCCACCTGCCTTGTTAGGTGGGGTCTGCCTGCTGCCACTGCCTGTGTTCACTGCCTCGGCCTTGCCTCAGTTATTGTGCAACTAATCCGGGCCTCCGACCTCAGCTTGGATCTACGTCCTATAAAAACCTCTTCTGACCCTCGGAACTAGCCTCGCTGCTCCACAGCCCGGGCACTGCCCCGCCTCGCAGCCAACACCCCAGGTGATCACTTCCGGGTTACTACCTGACCCCGCACCGTGCCGAGTGTGAACTCCAACAGGGAGCACCCCATCTGCTCCTGCTCACCGCTGTGTCCCCACACCTGGCACAGCCCCGTCCCAGCGGGGTCACTCCTGAGCTAGCAGATCCCAAGCAAGTCACCCACGGGGCCTAAGACTCTCCATCTGTAAAGGGGAACGTAAGAAAGGAGCCAGTGGAAGCTGCAGCAGGTCTGAGAAGGGGGCCATCCCAGTGTGACAGCCATGAAGAGGCAGGGCTGGTGGTTAAGAATCCAAGGAACCTGTCGGCACTTGCACAGCACCTCGTGCTCTGGCTTTGGGTACCTCCTAAAAGGCAGAGGCTTTACAACAAGGCCCAGGGAGCGGGAGACTGATATTTCAGAGGAATGAGGTAAGGGCAGCTACTAGCAAAGCTGCCCACATCAGGGGGCCAAGAGGGGGCACTTGGCACCTGGCCCATGTTCAGGGGGTGCTGAGCATCTAAGAGATGCTGCCACCTGTCAGGTGGAAGAGGGACTGGGTGCAGCCTGTCCTATTGGTCCTCCTCTGAGGTCACCACGGGCTCTTCCACCTCTGATGTGTTTCACGGTGTTGGGTCTACACTGCCTTTAAGCATCTTCTCTGACACACTGACGTTTTCTCCCCGAGGTTCCCAGGGATCCTTGCAAGGAGGCTGTGGCCTCTTATGTTAAGCCACTCTGGGCTAAGCTGGCTAAGAGATCAGCTTTGTGGCCACATCGGAGAAAGCAACTTGTAACGAGAGTCCCTCAATGTGATCTTCAGAAGACGGACTGACACACTGGGACTCAGATCAGAGCTCAGACATGCAGAAGGATGTGCACACAATCCCTCTCCTCCCTCACTCCTGACCTTAAAACTGCAAACCCAAAGCTACCTAATAGGAAGGACCAACTTCCCAAACCCCAATTCTATCAGGAGTCACCGTGGACCATGTCACGTGAGACACTAGCAGGGGGACCCACCATAAGCCTCAGACTTCAGGAAATCGCTTGAATTGGGCCTCAAGACAGGTGGAACCTCAATATTTCAGAAACACAGAGGGATTGGAGGGGAACTTACACCAGAAGGATCTCGATGCATGTGCTGAGATGTTCCAGGGAGTAGTTTGAGATCCTCTGCAGGTCTCTGGTCCAGTAGGGAGAAAGCTGAAGGCAAATTCTAGAGGCCCCAACGCAGGCCGCAGCGACCACAGAAGGCTGGAATTTGTAGAAAATATGATCTGAAAGAGAACCAGAGGCAGTCAGCATCATAAGGCCTCGCCTGGAGGTCGGTGCCCTTCCTGCCTTGTGCTCCCTAGACTCACTAGACAAATGATTAGGTTCAAGGCTATTCACTGCTGTGTACCCCCACATACACACACACACACACACACACTCATGATGAAAAAGTGGGAAACAGCCTGAAGCACCTGAGTCTTAAACAACCTGGTTCTCAGTCTGGGATTTCTAATGTCAGCCTAGAGCAGTGATGTTTCAAAATGTGGTCCATGGCTTCTGGGGGCTGCAAGGGGTTTGCTGATGGGCTATAAAACATTTGTCCTTTCTTTGCTTGTTAGGGGTCAATGATATACCATTTCAAAGACTACTTATTAATGGTAACAAAGCCTGAACCACAGTAGGCTCTCAATAAAAATCTGTTGAATACATGGATGAATGAGTGTCCAGCTGGTGTGGCTCAGTGACTGAGCATTGACCCATGCACCAAGAGGTCATCGGTTCAATTCCTAGTCAGGACACACGCCAGGGTTGTAGGCCCGATCCCCAGTGGGGAGCATGCAGGAGGCGGCCATTCAATGTTCTCTCTCATCAATGCTTCTTCTCTCTCACCCTCTGACTGTCTCTCTTTCTCAAATCAATAAAGAAAAAAAAATTTTTTAAATCTTCACTCGAGGACATTTCTGCATTGATCTTCAGATAGAGCAGGAGGGAGTGAGGGAGGAAGAGAGAGAGAAACATTGACGTGAGAAAGACACATGGAGTGGTTGCCATCCACACGACCCCAACCGGGGCCAGGGACAAACTGCAACCAAGGTACGTGCCCTTAGCGGGAACCAAACCCAGGCTTCTCTGGGCCACGGGTTGACGCTCTAACCACTGAGCAAAAATGGCCAGGGCAGAAAAAAAATTTTTTTAATAAAAAATAAAAATAAATGTATGGCCCTGGCCGGTTTGGCTCAGCGGTTAGAGCGTCGACCTGCGGTCCAGAGAGACCCGGGTTCAGTTCCCGCTAAGGGCATGTACCTTGGTTGCAGTTTGTCCCCGGCCCTGGTTGGTCATGTGGGTGGCAGCCACTCGATGTGTTCCTTTCACGTCGATGTTTCTCTCTCTCTCTGTTCCTCTCTCTCCCTCCCACTCTACCTGAACAAAAAATGGAAAAATGTCCTCGGGTGAGGAAAAAAAAAAAAAAAAATAATAAATAAATAAATAAATAAATAAATGTATGAATGAGTGACTACAGCAGTTTGATATTCATCACTAAAATTGGCTTTACTGAAATATGATTGAAAAATAAAAACTGTACATGTAAATAAAGTGTACAAATGTGATGCTCCGGGATATGTATACCCTATGAAATAATGTGAGAAATATTAATGTTCCACTAAGATATCTTATGACTTGGCTGGGACTACTTTTGCACAAAGGCAAACTTGAAATTCCCACAATTTTCCTGAATGACACTTGGTTACTGGTGCATTGTCATGCTGTCTTAAGCTGTTTATGATTTTCCATGATTTCAACACTTGCCTGTTAAAGTAGGAAATCAGTCAGGGTGGTATTATGGTTACAGGTACACGGAATCAGACTCCTTAGGTTCAAATTTTAGCAATGACCCTGGTAAGTTACTTCACCTCTTGAGCATCAATTGAGGAAAACTGACTTGTAAAATGAGAGTAGCAGAAATGACTTTTTTGGGAGGTTCAAATGAGATAATGTATGAACAACACTAAAATAAGGTGCCAAGGACACAGTAAACACTCAACTAATGCTTGATATCACAACTGCTGATACTGTTACACATGACAAATTTTGGTTTGTGGTGGGTTATTGGGTAGTTGTATCAACTGTTTTTCTGACCCAGTATTTTACCTAACATCAAGATATTTAAAAATTTTATTTTAGAGAGAGGAAGGGAGAGAGAGAAACACTGACATGAGATAGCCACGTTAATCGGTTGCCTCTTGTATGTACCCTGACTGGGGATCAAACCCACAACCTGGGCATGCGCCCTGACCGGGAACTGAATTGGCGATCTTTTGGTGCAGAGGGTGATGCTCAACCTACTGACCCACACCGGTCACAGCACCTAATACCTACATTTTAAGATGTCAGGAAGAGTGAAATTCAAATACAAGTCCCTAAACAGGGTCACTCAATTGCTAAGGCAGATGTAAACATAACCCCCTCCCCCACCCACCTGTGTGATGACAGCTCTTCCAGACTGACCTACCTGCAACTCTGTCCTACTTAGATCACCTGCAAGTTGCAGGTTACCGTAAGAAATGCTACCAGGTGACCATTAAGTTTGCAGAATACCAGTGGCCTGTAATAAGCTGTTACTTCTCTTTTACACACAATTGGTAACACACTGGGTGAATCCTTGTTTATCCCTTGCAAAGTGGCAGTGATCTGGGTGGATGGGCTCCTTTCAATGAGGACTCCCTGGATGGACATGCATGCCCCCGGGTGGGTGGGGAAGGGGTGACAGGTCCCGACACTGGGCCCCACCTTGCAGGGTGACCTCTAGGAAGTAGTGGGCGTACTCCTTGAGGCACTCTTTGGTCTTGCGGGGGCAGGTGGTGGGCCAGCTGTGGCAGTGCTGGTCCTTCTGGCTGACGGAGGCCAAGAGGTAGTAGTCGAGGAAGTGGGCAGGTGTGGGCAGGCAGAGGTTCCAGCTGAAGGCCTCCAGGAGCAGCAGCTCCGTGCTCAGGAGCTCCTTCTTGGTGAGGGTGAAGTTCTGGCTGCTCAGGATCCTCGTGCTGTTTATCTGCTCCAGCTTGGGTACGTGGTCTTCCCTGTCTTCGAACTTACCTGCGGGAGAAGCAGAGGTAACTAGACGAGAGCACTCGCCTGTGCCCAGGAATTTAGTAAAGGTCCGCCCTAAAGTACCTGGATGGTGCTGCCAGGGAGGACGGAAAGCCAAAAGGCCCGAGGGAGTACGAGCATCTACACTGGATCTGTCAAACCTGAACTCGAATCCCCAAACCATCCCCTCCGGCTGTGTGATCATGCACAGGCGTCTCCCCCTCTCTGTGCCTCGGTTCTCTCATCTATAAAATGGAACCTGCACCTCAGATACAATGACAAAATGCATACCAAACGCTCAGACTGGCACGTGGAACACAGCGCGTACTCAGAGCAGTCAGCACCAGCGATGCGGGCCTGAGGAAGGAGGTGGGTTCTCCTGTGTGGTCAGAACTAATTTAACCCGGGACTGCTCAGAGGGTCAGGTCATAGTCAGAATGACCCTGCAAATCTGACCCTGTCCCCCCCAGATGTGGAAAACACCTTCAACAGCTCCCCATTGATCTTGGTTTTGAGTTTAAGCTCCATCCGTGGGTTTTTCATGCGGATCCTCTCAGAAACAGAGGACTTGGAGGTGAGCCGAGGAAAGACTGATGGTGGGAGAAGACAGGAAGGGGAAGAAAGTCCCAAATGGGCACTTTTGTATCAAGGGTGTCACCACTGTCGCCCAGCAGGTGTGGCTCAGTGGTTGAGCACTGACCCATGCACCAAGAGGTTGCCAGTTCGATTCCTGATCAGGGCACATGCCCAGGTGTGGGTCAAATCCCCAGTGGGGGGCATGCAGGAGGCGGCCAATTGATGTTCTTGCTCATCGATGTTTCTATCTCTCTCTCCCTCTCCCTTCCACCCTTTCTAAAAATCAATAAAGAAAAAAAATTTTTTTAAAGAGCGTCACCACTGTGGATGACTGGGACCAGCCCCTACGAGGAATTCTGAGAAAACAATACAGAGCACGAGCCTTGGTCACGGGAACCAAGGCGTCGACAGACCAACCCCTAGTGGTCATCCTCAGGACAGAGAAGCAGCTGGTGGCAGTTGGGGGTCAGGCCCACCGAGTGTCAAGATGCTGAGGCTGTGGGCGGGAAGTGGCAGCCTCCACTGTGGGGGCCTCTGCAGGTGGGGCTGCCGGGGACCTCCCAGCTTTACCCCCCTCACCGGGGAAACCACACACTCCGGCCTGCGTCACTGCAATGCTCTGAAGGCACCTTTGCCTACGAGTCTCCTCCACACCGCCCTCCCTCTGCCTAGAGTACCTTCCCCTCTTCACTCGGCTCACCTCACCTGCTCTCCACCTTCAGTCACTGCCCTCGGACGCCTTCCCTGACCACAGCCCCCACGGACTGCCCAACCCCACCTCCGGCGGGAGCCCCGAGTCCTAGCCTTGCCTGGTCCCCGTGGCCTCCGAGCCCAACCTCACGGGCGCAGAGCAGGTGCTGAGTGTCAGAAGAGGCAGCTGTGCTCAAAGCACACATCTGTGCCAGAGGGCACAGCCAACAACGCGTCCACACACCTGTGCACAACCGCCAGCGCTCCCGACCCGGTTCTCATCAGGCTTTCGTGCCTCGGGAGAGATAAGGAGGCAACCACCACAGGCTGCCCTGCAGCAGCTACCACAGTCCTCAGGGAGGCTCAAACGACGTCACGTCACTGAGAACTGAACCTCTGCTCTTGGACAGGGAGGAGCTGAGCGAGTGGAAATGGGTGACATGGAGAGGCGCAGGAACGGCTGCTGGCGGTTCCCACGCAGCTTACCCCCAGCCCCAGCCCCTCCGGAGCCCTAGCCCTCAGTAACCACTCCCTAGGCACACACCTTCCCTGTCGCCCACGCAACAGTGACTCAGGCAGGCAAAGGCAAGGTCGGGGCTGCCCAAGGGGGAAGGGCCTCTAGAACAGCTGCCATCCTGGGCTGGGCCTGGCTGACCAGGCTGACCTCCTACCCCCACGCCCTCCATCCTAAGCACAGAACCCAGCCACATGGAACTCTGACCCTCCTGCAGCTGGGAGGGTTGCTCCCCTCACCCACCTTATCATGTGTCCTCCAGAGCTCAGTGCAGAGGCTACTGGAAGTTACCAGGGCACTTCTCACACTTACTTTGCTTGTTTAATATCGAGTATGAATATTCCTGGCCAGCAGGTCTAAACCCCATGAGGACAGGAACCGTGTCCCACCCATTTGGTGCTGTGCCCCCAGGTCCCAGCACAGTCCCGGGTACATAGCAGGTGCCCAATGAATACTCGTTGAGAGAAGGAATGGTTGTCTCTGGATAGTGAAATTTTAGGCCATTGGAATTGTCCTCTGGTGATTGCTGATGATCTGTATCCCCTACCCTTTTTCTCATGATTATGTAGTCTTTGTGCAATTTAGAAAGAAACAATATTATTTATTTCTGCAAAACTGTCAAGGTTTTCCTGAACCTTGTACTGAACTGGGCCAACACTGTTCACAGGCACTCAACAGATGAGCTCTTTTCTTCCCAGGCAGAAGGTGGCCCAGCAAAGGTCACCGCCCCGGCAGAGATGTGCACTGTGCCGGGGGCGGCACTAAGACTCATTCAGGGCATTGCTGGCAGCCAGCAGTCTCTCCGCCTGGCAGACGTGCTCAATTGGGTTAGCTTCCTCCCTGCCCTCGGTGCTGTCAAGCCTTTCAGATCTCTGCTTGCTCCCCAGCCACCAGGCCCAAGAGGGTTACCCTGGAATGGAAGGGGCCATGATTATGGAGGAGTCTGACTTTACCTGCTGCTTCATGGGGACCCACCAAGTACAGGCCAGGGAGAGGAGGGTCTGAATCCTCTGTGTGTTGGCTCCGAATCCAACAGCACTGAACTCCACAGGCCTTTCCCTTCCGACCTAGGAACACGCCCTAGGTGGAGACGGAATGGCCCTGCGGAATGAAAGAGCTTTAGTGCCCAGCTCACGGAGCTGCATGGAGCCCTGTGCTGGGCTGGGCACTGTGCTTTGTGCTGGACACGCACTGGATCCTCCCAGGTAGGTTCTGTTCGGATCCCCACTCGGAGAAAACGCTCAGAGAACTCAGCTCCTCGCTTAGGAGCGACTCACAGCCTCTGCTCTTAATGGCTGGCCAGCCGCCCCCAGCTCAGCGACTATTCCCCAGCACAAAACATTTCACAGCCAGAAAAGATTTTATGAGTTTCCTGGTGTTGCACGTGCCTGGCAAGCATTTCCTCCCCTCCTCCTGCAACCGTGAGTGGGGCCAGTCCTTTGTCCCAGCCCTGCACCACCGAGCACCGCCACTCACTGCCTGCTCCTCATTGACAAGACAAATGGCACAGACAACAGATGCCTGGAATTCTTCAGGCAGGTCCCCTGGGAAGCGCGGGGGACAGAAGTCCGAGTCTTTCCGAGGCAGACAAAAGCCACAGACTCTCTTCAACTTGTTCGATGTATTTGGAAAATTTTCAAATCTACAGAAAAGGTGAATGAATTGAGGTGACCCGTCACCCAGATTCACTAATTGCTTGAACCATGTATGGGGTGTGTGTGTGTGTGTGCGTGCATGCGTGCAAGTATGTATGTAAATATTAGTTCTGCTCAATCGTTGCTAGTTAAGTTGCATATGTGACATAACCCCCTAGACATTTCAGCATCTATCCCTGAGGTCATTTTCCTACATAATCATAATGCTATTAGCAATCTTAAGAACACAAGCATTAACGCAATAACATTTTCTAATATTCAATCCATATTTGACTTTCTGCAAGGGTCCTGAAAATGTCTTTATTTATTTTTTAAGTCACAGGATCCAACAAGGCTCACATGTCTCTTCAGTCCCATTTTCTCTTTGTTTTTTGTGACATTGACTCTTTGGATAAATTCAGGCCAGTTGTCTAGTGGAAAAAAAAACAAAAAAACAACAACACTGGCCTCCTATTCTGGACTGTCTGATTGCTTCCTCATGATCAAACAGTTTGGGCAAGAAAACTACAGAGATGATGTTTTGTGCTTCTTCCTGGATCACATCAGCAATTATCTAACGTCAGTTTGTCCCAGCAAGAGCGAGGCTACATTTGAGGGCATGGTTAAGGCGGTGACACCAGATCGCTCCATGTGTATGGTACCGTTTTCCTGTGAAATTAATAAGCAGTCTATGAGGGGTCACCTTGAGAATTTATGAATATCCTGTTTCCCAAAAAAAAAACTTCAATGGTTTGATATCCACAGACTATCTCTACCTTCCAGAATAAATTACTACTCTGGGGTTGAAAATTTTTTTTTTTTTTTAACAATTCTATCATTCTATCCATAGTTTTCTGTTTGGATGTTGCCCTAAATTTGAACAGCAGGAGCCCTATCAACACACTTTTAAGATTAAAAAAACAAATCCTAGCCCGGTTGGTGTGGCTCAGTGGTTGAACATCGACCCATGCACCAAGAGGTTGCCAGTTCGATTCCCAGTCAAGACACATGACCAGGTTGTGGGCCTGATCCCCAGTGGGGGCCATGTGCAGGAGGCAGCCAATTGATGCTCTCTCTCATCGATGTTTCTATCTCTCTCTCCCTCTCACTTCCTCTCTCTCTAAAATCAATAAAGAAAAAAATTTTTTTTAAAAAAGATCTAATCTCTTAAAAAACAACAACAAAAAAGCAAATCCTAACCCTATCAAAGCACTCACCCTGGGTCTGGGGGGCCAGCTCACCCACATGAGCTCTTAGTGTTGGTGGCTGCTAGTGATGGTGAAACCTGCAAATGGTGCTTTTTAAGACCCTCTGCTCACCCAGCTGACCCACTGCTCACACAGATCCCAGCAGCTGGTGCACAGACAGCCTAGGCTGTTCTTGGCAGGTCACACAACTAGGGGACCTAAACACCTGACCACACACTAGGCCACGGCGGCAAGACACTGTCCATCCAGAAGCCCAGCAGGGATATGCACAGACTGGCCTTTAACCATTTCTGACTGTATAGTTCGGAGGCATTAAGTACATTCACACTGTTGTGCAACCAACCTCCAGAGCTCCTTTCATCTGGCAAAACTGAAACTGTATAC